TTGACATAGCTGGACTATGTAACAATATTAAACGCTCAAATTCTGGGTCCTGAGAATGGGGTTTGTGTCATGTAGATGAGTTTCCTCCCCTGCTCTTGGAAAGAAGACTCAAGTAAGCAATGATTAAAATTGATTTACCTTTGTCACACCCTTCTACCTCTAACCTTTTTTACACTCGGGTAAGGCACACAGCTCTAATTGGGCTGCTGGAACAATGCTGTCCAGTCCTACCTACCTTAAGTTTCAACAGCCCTTCCTTGAACCTTCAAATGGTAATTCTACAACCATGGAGCAATTGATAGACATTTCAACAAATAACCCAGAAAATGTTACCACTCTTAAACTATAACTAGTGTTGAAAGAGACCATCTGTTACTTATAAAAGAAAAATATTAGAAATCTGTTAAAAACTTTAGAGACATGTTCAAATAAATGATACGTTCATGCAATAGATTATGCCAAAATTTAAAAAAATGTTTAAAAGTTAGTTGTAATGACATAGGAAATATACAAAATATAACGCTGAATAAATAAAAAAGATACTTAATGCTATGTTCTTTATGAACTCAATTATGGAAAAAATGCATTAAGACTAGAAGCTAATAAAACTTTTGGGTAGTAGGCTTGTAATTTATGGCTTTTTCCCAGTTAATACATGAATCCATGCTTTCCAGATTTTCCCATATCAAATAAGCATTTAAAAAAAAGCGGGGGGGGGCCCTGGGTGGCTCAGTCTGGTTAAGCGTCTGCCTTCAGCTCAGGTCATGGTCCCAGGGTCCTGGGATGGAGCCCTGCATCGGGCTCCTTGCTTAGCAGGGAGTCTGCTTCTCCCTCGGCCTTTCACCCTGCTCGTGCTCGCTCGCTCGCTCTCAGGCTCTCTCTCAAATACATAAATAGAATCTTTTTAAAATTTAAAAAAAAAAAATCAGAAAAAAGTATAAATTCAAATAAATCTCTAATTAGTAGAATTTTAGAGAGCTATAAATAGTGCCAATTATCAGGCAATGTGGAAATAGAGCTTTGTGAGCAAAAGAGCATTCCTTTAACTTTGCAAGAATTTAATTAGACTTATTTGATTTTTTTTTTTTGTGTGTGTGTGTGTGTGTGGTTTTTTTAAACTGAAGGTCCCTTACTGGTCCTGCTTCCATGAGTGGCTGCCACCAGGGGGAAAGGGGAGGGGAACCAAGTGGGCAAGGAGGGGTCATTTCCACAACATTCCATTTATGCACAGAACAAAACAGACAAGCACAGAGTCACTACTGAAGTTAGAAGTTACCAGCATAGGAAAAGGAACAGGTGGGGAATTGGAGTGTCATAAAAACATACAGCCCCCCCCCACCAAACTGGGGTGCCTGGGGAGGGTGGGGGGACTTGGTCTGCTTCAACCCAAGAGGAATCAGATCAAAAGTGGTTTGGGAAGGCTAGAACCGTCAGGGATGGAGGGAGGAGGAAGGTCTGGGGACCAGGGGGCCGTTTGTCAACTGGGGTGAAGGGATTGCCCTCCCCCTGCTGGGATCCCCCTAGCCCCTTGGGTTTGACAGGAAGGGGGCAGCCTGCAACCCCGATGAGCAGGTCTGGGGCTGCCAGATGCTCCAGGCAGGGGGCTGGAGGGGGCTCACAAAGGCTTGCCCTCCAGGGAAATAATGGCACTGCCCCCCAGCTTCTCTGCCAGGGTGCAGCGGTCCTTGACTCCTCGTAGCAGTTTGCTTGTAATTCACACTTGATCTCCATCAGCTCTTCATGATGGCGTCCTTGGAGCTGGCATGGATCATTCTGCTCTTAAGTGGTGCGGACTCAGGTGCCCAGAAAATAAACACCAGGTCTTCCTTCTTGGGTCTCCTTGGTCTCATAGGTTGTGTCATAGAGGGCACAGTGGCAGGCCTTGTCTGGTAGCCTCTTGACGAAGGTGGCACAGGGGTGGTCTACAGTCTGGCCCACATCCCCTACCAGGATCTCCTTGCCCTGCTCCAGGTAGGATCTTCTTCTTGTCCTGGCTTAGACAGAGGAGTACTGCCTCCTTGCACTTCTCAGCTCCTCTGGTGTTGAGGACTTATGCACTTACCCTCATGTCACTGAACACCTTGAAAATGCAATCAGAGACTGCCATTTCAGAGGCCATGTTTCTGAAAGCGAAACGGAGATAACAAAGGAGAGCCAGAAGAGAGGAGGGCCACTGCCACTGCTGCTGGAAGGACTGAGAGAGACTTATTTTCAGTTAACCACATTATAAAATACTAAGTTTTGTGGTTATGAAAATATTGCTTATTGCTACTGCTATGCCATTTTTATAGATCCAATAAAACCTATTACTGATGCTTACTTCCCTTGATTAAAGAGACCAGTGTTTCTTTTTACATGAATCACACAGAAAATAACACAGGCATGGGATTTTGACAAACAGGAAAAAAAGGTTATATAACGAAAAAGTCTTCATCCCATCCTACAACACTTTCCCACATATAGCAGTAATCCATGGCCCAGAAATCAGTCTTGCGTAGAAGTGCCCCACGTATATTGTATTTATACACTAATCACTCTTCTATAACTTTATTTCACTTAACATATTTCAGAAACATTTATGTATCAGTATGTATAAATCCATTTTATTCTTTGTAAATACTATTTAATATTCTACTCATGGCTGTAATTTATTTGTAACCCCTTACTGATAGACATTTAAATTATTTCCAGTTTCTCTCTATAACAAACAAGACTTCAGGGAACATACTTGTACAAATATCTTTATGTACATGAACAAGATTATCCATAAAATAAATTCTTAGAATTGTTGAATCAAAGAGTATGTGTACATTTAAAAAAAATCTGACATTGCCAAATTGCCTTCCAAAGAATTTGTACCAATTTATACTCCAGGGTAACATTTCTGATCAATACAGATTCTTTAAAGCATATTCCAATGCTGTCATTAGCCAAGAAGCTAACACAAATGAGGGAAGCAGGATGGGGTAAGAAGACAGTAGACTGAAGAGCATGAATATTCAGTCACTGAAAGAAGTGGCTTCTCCTCAATTGCAGCCAACTATGCCTTCTAGGAATCAGTGCCCAATACTGTTAGTGTCTTGATCTCTCAAAAGCCTAAAATCTAGACTTCTGCATGAAACCTACAGATTTTTTTTTTTTAAAGATTTTATTTATTTATTTGAGAGAGAGAGAATGAGAGAGAGCACATGAGAGAGGGGAGGGTCAGAGGGAGAAGCAGACGCCCTGCCGAGCAGGGAGCCCCGATGCGGGACTCGATCCAGGGACTCCAAGATCATGACCTGAGCCGAAGGCAGTCGCTTAACCAACTGAGCCACCCAGGTGCCCGAAACCTACAGATTTTTTAAATGTTGACAACTCATTTTAGATTTTTAGAATTGGCACGACAAACAAAACTGTGAGTGGAAATCATCTACTGGGCCTCCAAATTGTGACCTACACTTTAAAGCTTTCATTTCTGCCCCCATATCCAACCAACAAAGACTGTCATGGCTGTAGGCTGCGTTTAGCCTACGGTTTTAAAGCTGGGATTTCCTTAGATTCATTTTATTTCTGGACAAACTAGAAGATTTTATGAACTACATCGTCACTATTCCCTCAAACTATGGGAACAATTTAATCTACTCTTGCCCCGATGTTTTTATTAATGTTTCCTACATTATGGTCCTTTGCCCTATACTTTTATTCCTTTAGAGTGCTGCGTTCCTGTTTTCTCCATTATATGGAATCACTACATGTTTTAAGGGCAGAGTCATTTTCCTATGAGCGTAATCTTTTACCCAAAGGGGATAAAAATCTCTAGTCATTTTTCTGTACTACTTTGCATTCAACATATCCATCTACCTACAGAAGAAATTGTGGGAATAGAGTATATTAAAAAGACTTGCTGCCTCTCACTTAAATAGTATTTTTAATCTATAAAAAATATATTAACTACATGCTTATAGTTAAATAAAGACAACATAAAAAATAAACCCTGAAGTTGCTAAATCTGTATCAAAAAATATTCAAATTCAGGGGTAAAATACCATGAAATTTTTAATATTTTATTATCTCTTCTATATAAATACTTGCAAAAGGACCAATCTGACAAAGCCCAATGCACTGCACGATTATAAACAGAAATGTTTGTAAACATTAAAATTATAAGCAATATATGAGGTCAGTTACCTATCTGAAAATTCAGAAGGCAACAATCTCTTATACAAATGAATTTTGAAAATCAAATTTTAAAAACTATTAGCTTCATTTATTGTAAATATGCATGAGTCTTAATTTTAAAGCTGTCATTTTTAAAGAATTCCTAGTTTTAATATTAATTTGTTCAGAAATTTTTATACATAATATATAAATATAAATACATATTCTATATAAGTAAATATATGATATATAATATATAAATATAAATATAGATATACCTGCAATAACAAAAGAAGACCAAAAGACATGTATTAAAGAAGCTTTATAATGCAACAAAGCTTTCAATATATATTGAAAATATGAAAGCTACTCATAGGAAAAAATCTGCATGAATCATTTTACCAACATTGATGCCACTGTGTGTACTTTTAGTTTCCAAAGGCAAAGTCCTAGACATTACAAGTTCCTCTGTTAGCACTTCTAAATAAGTGAGTGTTCCTACTTCCCCTTAAAAGGTATACTGTAACAACTCAAGTGTGTCCTTTCAAAAGAAAACTGATTAGGTCACCCTAAAATTTAAAAACCCAAAGCTCTACATTAGGCACATGTCATTTATCTCAACATTCTAATCATGAAAAATAAACAAGAATAAAAAATTACATATTTAAATTGTAATGTGCACATTGGATTACTTCTTCAAATGTGTTATCAGAACTCACAGATAAAACAAAAGTAATAAAAAGATTGTGTTAAAATATTACATTTAATTTTACCTAAAATATAAATTAAAATAAGGCATAAGAAAAACTTTGAGACCACAATACATATATGGAAAACTGACCACTGAAAGATGCAAATAATTCATACAATATAAGCTTTAATATATAAATTAAATGTCATTTCATCAGCTGTTAGTCACATCAGTCTAAACTTTACCTTATATATTAAAATATTAAAAAGCTAAAAAACATCATTGCAATATAGATTCAATATGGGAAAATACATATTTGTGGCTTTTATACACAATCTAAATTAATCCATTCTATACAATAGTTTTCCAAAATATAAACGGCACTTTACATGCAACAGAACATACCAGGCTGGGTGTCCTAATATAATTTAATATAGAGAAAATAAAGAGAAAACACCTTTTTAACAAGACAGTTACACAGTGGAGGTGGAATGTAGAATAAGATTTTGCCTTAACACAATCTTGGGTAAGAGTAAAGAAATATGAAAAAGGACAATTTCTACTACTTTCAATTAGCATTTTTTAAATTGAAGAATACTGTGATTTTATATTTTCTAACTGTATCACAAACAGAAAACATGGAAGGTAGGGGAGAAAGCATGATCCCCTTTATGAATTTTAAACATCAGCCCTGCCGCCTATGGGCTGCATTTAGGCTCCTTTCCTGTTGACAGTTTCCTAAATTATTTCTGCCACTCTTGAGTTGCGCATCAGTAATCAGATGAATTTCCCAGACTTCTTTATGCCATTGTGTAACCATAGCTGCCACAATGTAATGCCACAAGAAGTCTGTCCTTGAGTATTTCTTTACTTGGGTATTCAGGTAACTTGAGCATGTTGATGCTTTAAAAGACAAATATACCACCATTAAATGGGAAATCTATGAAATTTCTGATTGTTTTGTCTAGCAGTGAAAACACTACTCAAAATTAACATAAAACCACCCTCTCAAATTTGCATTCAAATTGGAAAACCCTGAAGTAGTATTTAAAAAGAAAAAAGAAAAAAAAAAACAAAAAACTGCTGCATTGCAGTTTCCTTTAGCATGCAAATGTAGTGGAATAAAATAAGTTCCTTTCAGCCTAAAATAAATAAGCAATAAGGGAATTTAGTTTGAAGTGATGGTGTAACTCAGTGATACTTATGACAGTGTAACTTCAGTGATACTTGAACTACATTCAATTAAATTATAGGTAGTTTCCTCAAATATTTTCCCTACCAAAAAAGGGACAGGCAAGGGATTATGTTGCTACTTATTTATCAGTGATTCCAAAATGCTGCAAACAGGTTACTGTTGAGGTTTTCCTCTCAATGCAGCAGTCGTCAGACCTTTAATCTTTCAAAATTAATCAAGACACTTCACAATGCATTTAAATAAACAATTTAACATACCATGTGCTTGAAGTTGGTAGGAGATTTGGGGTATATGGCACAGCAGCAATTGTAAAGTTCTGCAATCCACTTCCACCCATGATATTAGCAAATCCACCATGTGGGACCCTGGAACTAAGAGTTCATATCTTAGTTGTAATCATGAAACAAAAATCTTTGTGATAGATAAAATATATTCAACTCTAGGGCACTGACAAGGTGACATTTTTGGTTCTGCAAAACTCCAGCTCATTATTAAAAGATACTTTGTGGCCAGTTAGCAAGTTTCCATGGAGACTCTCCTCCACACTTTTTTTTTTCTTTTTTTTTTAAGATTTTATTTATTTGACAGAGAGAGCACAAGCAGAGGGAGAGAGAGGGAGAAGCAGGTTCCCTGCTGAGCAAGGAGCCCGATGTGGGACTCGATCCCAGGACCCTGGGATCATGACCTGGGCCGAAGGCAGCCGCTTAACCGACTGAGCCACCCAGGCGTTCCTCTCCTCCACATTTCTATAAGCCATACTGTGCTTTCAATTGGCCATTGCACATACCTCTATTATTGCACATAGCATACTGCATGTACAATTGTTTTCTTCTATGTGTCTCTCCCTACTCAACTGGGACTAATTTGAGGACCTAAATGTGTGTCATATCTGTATTTGTACCCCTGGGGTTAGCAAAATGACTGGCATCTAACATTCATTCATTAGATATCTGCCAAATACATGAATGTTTGCTTGATTAATTCAAGCAATATAGAGGCTCATAGACATAATCCAAACAATTTCCTACATGTGAAAAATATCTAGGGTCTGATGGGGTTCAGGGCAGGCCATCCCCAAATATGCCACTTAGGCATACTAATTATTTCAAATTAAAGTTACTTAAAAACAACCAGTGCAAAAAGGACACTTTAACCTTCCTCTGTCTCCTTGAAAGCAGGAAATAAATCTCCCATGTGAAAGGTACTCTCCCTGTACCAGAAGGTAAAGAAACATCCTATGACCAGAGATAGGGAATTCAGGGCTGAGAAGGCTATAGAAACAAACCTCATTACTTCTTCACCAATTTACTATCCTAAGCATAAACTTCTTTGTCTTTTCAATTCTTCAAAAATGTATTGTCTCTTTGTCTAAAAGGTGTAAACCCTACTTACTTTGGTCACTTCTCTGAGACTCATATTTCTATAAGCTCCAAAACATATGGATTAAATTTGTTTTCTACCTGTTAATCTGTCCATGTGAATTTAATTCTTAGACCAAGAAGAATAACTTTAAAAGGAAAATTTTTCCTCCCCAACAGGTCACAGGGTTTTTGTTTTGTTTTGTTTTTCACTGTGGGAAAACTAGAATATTCTTTGTATTTCTGTTCCAAAGATTCACAATATCAGATGTATTTCTTTTTTAATGTCACCTAACATAAACATGACAAGACCACATTCAAATTCGAAAACCCCAACAAAATGCATAAAGAGTACTAGAAAATTTAATCTTGGGTACATGGCTACAGAGAATATAATTGCAACTTCCTAAATTCTATTGTTCACATTTGAAAGACATTATTTCAAATTAGCTTTTGTATGTATCATGATTAAACAAACTGATCCTGTAAAACATTTTGTTTTTAAACTGAGATGCTATGGTGTTTTTTAAATAAGAATGATGACCAAAAAAAAAAAAAAAATTTAATGTATAGGTACTAAAGGTATACTCAGAAGTCTGACTAGTATTAGAAATGTCTTCTAACATAGTATTCTTAGTACAAAGCATAATTTAGTTCATTTAAAAAAAAAAAAAAACTGTTGAACCTTAAATAGCCAAAACAATCTTGAAAAAAGAAGAATAAAGTTAGAGGTTTCACAGTTCCTGATTTCAAAACTTAAACTACAAAGCTATGGTTATGAGAACAATGTAGCACTGGCATAAAGACAGATATACAGAAATGGAATAGAATATCCCAAATAAATTCTTGCATATATGGCCAAATGATTTTCAACTACAGTCCTAACATTCAATGGAGACAGTGTGTGCAGGGGGAGAGGGAAAGGGAGAGGAAGAGAGAATCTCAAGCGCACTCCCCGCTGAGCATGGAGTCCAACATGGGCTCTCAATCTCACAACCCTGAGATCATGACCTGAGCCAAAATCACGTTGGATGCTTAACCGACTGAGCCACCCAGGCACCCCTAGGATGACCATTTTAAAGAAAAAATACAAAAATTAAAAAAACAAAAAACAAACAAACAAACAAAAAACAGAACACAGTAAGTATTGGAAAGGGTATGTAGAAACTGGAACGCTTATGCATTGCTGGTGGGAATGTAAAATTTACATCAGCTGTGGAAAACTGTATGGCTGTTTCTCAAAAAACAAACACAGAATTAGAGTATATAGCCCAAAGAATTGAAAACAGAGACTAAAAAAGATTATTTGTACATCCATGTTCATAGCAGCATTATCCACAAAAGCCAAAAGGCAGAAGCAACTCAAGTGATCATACACGGATGAAGGAATAAGCAAAATGTGGTATATACATAGAGTGGGTTATTATTTATCCTTAAAAAAGGAAAGAAATTCTGACATATGCTATAATGTGGATGAACCTTGAGGACACTAGGCTGAGTGAAATAAGCCAGTCACAAAATGACAAATGATGTATGGTTCCATTTATATGAAGTACCTAGAGTAGTCAAATTCATAGAGACAGAAAATAGAATGCTGGTTGCCTAGGGCTGGGGGGAGGGAGTATGAAGAGTTAGTGTTTAATTGGTAGAGTTTCAGCTGCAGAAGATAAAAAGGTTTGGGAGCTGGATAGCGGTGATGGTTGCACAACAATGTGGATGTGCTTAATGTCACAGAACTGTACTTAAAAATGGTTAAAACGTTAAATGTTATGTACTTTCTGCCACATACACTATAAAAACTGTGGAAAAATGGACCAAAATTTTCTGTTTAAAATTATAAATGATGGGAGCTTGGGTGGCTCAGTCGTTAAGCATCTGCCTTCAGCTCAGGTCATGATCCCGGGGTCCTGGGATCGAGTCCCACATCGGGCTCCCTGCTCGGAAAGAAGCCTGCTTCTCCCTCTCCCGCTCCCCCTGCTTGTGTTCCCTCTCTCGCAGTGTCTCTGTCAAATAAATAAATAAATCTTTAAAAAATATAAAATCATAAATGATATCTACACATTCACAGGGGGAAAAAATAACAATCCAATATAAATAAATCTCTAAAAAAGAGCAGTTTTCTTTTATAGCTGGGAAGTTGTTTGGTTGCTCTTAAATGCTTTACTGATGAAATGCCTGAACTTACCTTAGAAATCCAAGTGAATATTAAAAGTCTTGTTAATAAACACTAATTGCATGAGCAATTCCTACCTAGGGCAAAAGAATAGCTAAAGAAGATCTGGACATGTGTGTAAACTGAAATAAAATTCAACATTAGTCTATGCCTATTAAAAAGGCAACCAAAAATGAAAAGGGATAAAAAGCCAAGCCGTTCTGAATTTCCTGTAGAGGTAGAATTTAAAAGTAAGTACACCACTTTATCAGGATAAGATGAGAAAATGAGACTTGATACCGATTCTTACACAAATTAAATACAGTATTTCAACATCTGAATGATCAATCTAATGTTTTTCATGTCACCAAATTTTGAAAAATAAGCTTAAAAATCTAAAGATTTCCCAATTTTAAGATCTAAATTAAAATTATACTGTAAACTGATATTCACAAACAATCTCTGAAACTTTATTCCTCTTCTTCTAAACTACAAACAAATATGACTCGGCTCCGTACTTGAATAATCAGTGAATCTTAAGATCATGGCTCATCAAGCTTAAGTATGTATGAGAAAAATAAATGAAATGGTCTTTGGTTGAATATTATGACACTTGGATTATACAATGTAAAATTACACTCAATAAAAAGACATACTTCTATTTTATACACAAAGAAATCATCAAGTCTGATCTTCATTGTTCTTAAGGGGTAACGAAACAATAGCGTAGTAAGTCATTTAATTAAGATGGTCTTATAGACCAACAAAATAATGTTACACCATAAAACACTTAAAAATTACTTTTGGCATTGATTCTTGGTTCTAATAACTGGAACACATTTGACTTTTCAGTAAGGTTGCACTAAACTATGGACACAGAGTAAGGCAGATTTTAATATCTAAATATAAACAGATAATCAGAATTTTCCAGAAAGTGCTGTTGAAAAAAAAAATACAAACTAAGTTCAGAATGGCAAATACTATACCTACACTTAAGCCTAATTAATCGAAAGTTAAGGTTTAAAAAGACTTAAAATTTACTCAGTCTGAATTCAAAACAAGGGCTCTGTAGACTTAAGTGTTGAAAGGTGGCTTCTTTGGCATGATGGGAAAGCTTAGCTCTGTGTTGTTCCCCTCAGCTTCCTTGGCTTCTATTTTTTACTCACATCCCTCACACCTCAGTTTAATTAAGGATTCACAAGCTACACTTCATGTCCAGTTAAATAATAAACAGTGCAATTCTTTTCAGTACTGCTAACAATGACTATATGATTGACCTGGGAGAGGCACTCTGTATTACTAATACAAGAGCTTTTTATTCTACAAGAGCAGCAACTTAACAGACATTTTTAGTACTAGAGAACTTGAGTAATTGTAATTGTTATCTGCACTTTAAAAGACTCATACCAACCAAATCATGGTGGTGGGGATACAATAACCCATTAATTGGTGTTTAGATATAAATCATTTAGAAAATAGTAAGAGCCCTACCTCAATACATAAACCAAAATAAAATCCAGATGGCTTAAAAATTGGAAAGTAAAAACAGGAACTATAAAAAGTTAACAGAAAAAAAATGTAGATAAACATATAATCTTGGGAGTGGGCAAGGATTTATAAAAACCACAAAGAAAAGTACTGATACTCAACTTACAAAATTAATACTTTGATTTTATAAATTTTATAAAGTAAATTTATAATTGAAAATACATGGAAATCTGCATATTTAACTTAATGAAGTTAAAAGGCAAATGATAAACTGGGAAAATTATTTGCAGAGTTAATGTCCCACATAAATAACATTTAGAACTGAATTTTTTAAAATGACAATGGGGCACCTGGGTGGCTCAGTCATTTAAGCATCTGGCTCTTGATTTCAGCTCACGTCATGATCTCTGGGTCATGAGATCAAGCCCTGTGTCTGACTCCATGCTCAGCGGGGAGTCAGCTTGGGATTCTCTCCTTCTCCCTCTTCCTCTCCACCCGCCCCTCCTCTGGCTCTCTCTCTCAAATAAATAAATCTTTAAAAATAAATAAATGACAATAGAATGCATAAAAATTAAGACAGGCAATAAAAATAAAAATAAATATATAAGAATTATATAAATAAAAAATTATATAAAAATAGAAATGAGGGCGCCTGGGTGGCTCAGTCAGTTAAGCATCTGCCTTCGGCTCAGGTCATGATCCCAGCGTCCTGGGATCAAGTCCACATCGGGCTCCCTGCTCGGCAGGAAGCCTGCTTCTCCCTCTGCCCCTCCTCCCTGCTTGTGCTCTCGCTGTCTCTTATGCTCTCTCTCAAATAAGTAAAATCTTCAAAAAAAAAAAAAAAGAAAGAAAAGAAAAAGAGATGATTACATCCTGTACTGATGGGAGTAAAAGGAATAGGCTCTCTCATTCCCTGTTGATATGAGTACTGGTATCTTTCTGAAGGGTAAATGAACAATATGTATCAGGTTATAACAATTTATATACTTTCGTATCCAAAAATTTCCCTCCTAAGAATTTTTGCTATATAAATAATCAAACTAGCCCACAAGTGTATAAGTGCAAGAATTCCTTATTTGTTTAGCATTATTTATAAGCAGGAAAATTTAGCAATGAAGGACAATATCAATGAAGGAAGGTCCATAAACTGAAGAATAGGTAGCCATGAAAAAATCAGATCTATAAATGGAACAATTTTTAGTAATATGTGGCTAAATTCAAAAGTTATAAAAGAGGAACAATGTTTTTAAAAAGTAGAAATTTAGGGCACTTGGCTGGCTCAGTTGGAGAGGCATGAGACTCTTGTTCAGGTCATAAGTTTGAGCCCCAGGTTGGATGTAGAGATTACTTAAATAAACTTAAAAAAAGAAAGTAAAAAAATTTATGTATGTGGGAAAAATTCTGGAATCTCAGACACTTGAGATTAGAAGTGATTTTTTTATTGAAATTGTCTAATCCTCCTACATAGAATATATAATTTTTAATTCTTTTCATTAAATTACCCAAATCTCTGGGTATTTCTTGGCATTAAGAAGCCAAAAAAAACAACACAACACTAAAACAAGGTTTTCTTTCATATCTTTAGCCTATAATCTGTGAATATTCATGTTCTCTCTTCTTTTTTAAGATTTTATTTTTAAGTAATCTCTACACCCAACATGGGGCTCAAACTTACAACCTCAAGATCAAGAGTCTTATGCTTTCCCAACTGAGCTAGTCAGGTACCCTAAATGAATATTCATGTTTTATTTATTGTTTAAATTTAGATTATAGTGTGATACCAACTATTTTTCTAATTATGTAGCTAAAGGACTTAGAAAATAAAGCAAAATGTTAAATTATTATCTCTGAATAGTGGAATTACTTAATGAATTTTCATTTTCTTCTATCTATATTCTTCATTTTCCAAATTTTCTATAATGGCTATGGACTACTTTTAAGATAAGAAAATACTGGACTTTAAATTACATATATATTTTATTAGGGCGCCTGGGTGGCTCAGTCGTTAAACGTCTGCCTTCGGCTCAGGTCATGATCCCAGGGTCCTGGGATCGAGTCCCGCATCGGGCTCCCTGCTCAGCAGGGAGCCTGCTTCTCCCTCTCCCACTCTGCCTGCTTGTGTTCCCTCTCTCACTGTCTCTCTCTGTCAAATAAATAAATAAAATCTTTAGAAAATAAATAAATAAATAAATAAATAAATAAATAACATATATATTTTATAGAGAAATACACTCACAATTATGTTTTTAAAATAGAAAAAATAGACAAGTAAATACACAAATTGTTTATAATAGTTATTGCTGGCAGGGAGTGGTGTTCCTTATTTGTTTTAATTTTATGTGTGTTCCAACTTTCCTAGAAGAACCATGTACATTTATAATGGAACAAATGAACTATATTTCCATAAAGAGGAGGGCACAGATGAAATTCTAAGATGCTAAGAATGAAAATCAGATTTTTTTTAAACATCTTTCAGAAATGTAACTTAAAGGAGGTTAAAATCATCTAGTTTCCTAGTATCTGTGATATTTAATCAGTCCAAAAGTAGACTTTTCAAAGATATGTGGTATCACAAATTATTTTTTAGGCCATGAATCTTGAAATTTTAAAATCTGGTAAGAGGGCCGCTTTGGTGGCTCAGTTGTTAAGCTTCCGACTCTTGGTTTCTGCTCAGGTTATGGTCACAGTCAGGGTTGTGGGATCAAGCCCCACATCAGGCTCTGCACTCAGCACAGAGTATGCTTGGGATCCTTTTCCTCTCCTTCTGCCCCCCGCAATAAATAAATAAAATCTTTTAAAAAATTGGTAAGAACTGGAGAAAAACAGCTGAGTACGGATATTATAGATGTCATGCGTGCGTGTGTGTGTCCAGCAACACACAAATATTAAAAATTTGGCACTACCATTGATTTACCTACAGAATGAAAAGATTACCAAATTATAAAATACAATATATATGCTGATTGTCCTGATTGGAACAGTTTTTTTTTTATACAGTAATATACATTAAATAAACATTTGAGCACTACCACAGATTTTATCGTTAATGGCTAAATAAATCTTTAATACCTAAAAAATGGAAAGGGAGGTGGAAACTGACAATTCCAAGTAATAATGCATTTTGGTTGTTTAAGCCATCAAAACTGCAACACATTAAATTCTTTCCACCTTAGCATAAAAACACTTCTTACCTGCCAGTAACAAACTGCAAGAGAAGAACTCTCTCCTCTGGAGTAATGTCTTCCACAACTTCCCAGAACCACTAACAACAACAAAAAAACTGTAATTGTAGACAGAGTAATTGTAGACTTCTTAATACCCAAGAAATATGTAATATTCATAAACATATTTTATTCTATGAAACTCATTTATCAAAAATGCTTTCATACAAAGCTTTCATATGCAATATTCCCAGGAGAAGAATTTAGGGGAAAATTTCACTTTGTTAATTAATGTAGGTTTTCATCCAATAGTGCTGAAAAGCTTATAAAATTAAATGGCAAACTTAACTTCATTCTAAGCTCTGGAGAGATTTTACCTGAATAACTGGATCTTCTCTTTCATAGCCACTTGTGTATTCTGTATTTCTTATCCAATCACTCACATCAATTTCTGGCATGCCAGAAAGCAGTAGCTCCTTTGGGGAAGAAGAAAAGTATTTCATTAATCTTCATCAGGAAAAAAAAGCTATTACAATAAAACAGTAAATTTGCCTTAATTAGAAACTAATCCCATGTAAAACTGATTTATTTTTGTGACAGTTTCTGCATGTCATCAATAACAAGAACTTTTCATATTGATAATCTCAAATATTGCTGAGATGTGGAAATGTCTCCACACGATACAATTTCATTAAAACATGAGACAAATAAACACATGCAACAAGTTTACATTTGCAACAATTTTATGAATGTTATTATATTTGGTTTATGTTTAATTGTATGAATTTGTTAAATTCTAAAGAGACCACATATGCTCAACATATGAAAATGATAACAAAGACCTGAATAAGTCCTGGGTTAATAAGCAAAGGAAAAAATCATCAAGAAACTCTAGTCACTAGGAAAAAGAAGTAATATAATAAAAAGAGGTAATATAATAAAAATGGTTGTTTAAAAAAAAAAAAACAACAGATTCAGGCCTTTCAAGAACTCTATTTTGGAATGATTTGGATCCTCTAAAGCCAAAATTCCCCAGTGTGAGAAAAAAATGCAATTTCCTAATGACTTTTGGTAGTCTTTTTTTTATTAATGTGAAGATCATCAAACACAGTATTAATCAAATAAATAAAAATGAAATTAAGAATGTCAAAAATACTTACCATTATGTTTTCCAAGAGAAAAGAGAACATGGAAAGAGCTTGTCCAGATGGCTCAAATGAGCCCATATCTCACGACTGGATGTGTTTACACAGACAGATAAGGCAATGACCATACTACACTTAACCAAATACTGACAAGCCAGATCAGAAGAGTTTGGTGTCACAGACACAGATACAGTGTGGTTCAAAATCACGTCTCCTACAACAACTACTCATGCATACACCTGACTAGTACAGAAGTGTGCTCTGAAGAAAATTAATGAAGGCTAGTAAGAGGCTCTGACAACTCTTGTAGTTTCTAAGATCTATTCAGAGTCTACAAGGTTCTCCCTTTTCCAACATATCTGAAGCTGGATTTTCTTCATTTAGTTCAAGCAAACAACATATTACAACTGATTATACGTAGAAGGAGATATGAGAACCTACTTGTCTTCTATTAAGTAGATATTAAACCTACAAAAATGTAAAATACCACTCTTCTCACTATTTTTAGCTTTATCCTGGAAAATGCAATTTTCAATCTTTAAATGCTATTCATATTAATATGTAATGGATTGTTATTTCTACATTAAGTAAATATTTTACATTTTTGTTTTAATTTCAAATGCAATATATATCAATATAACCCACATGAACAAAAACGTTTGTTGTAAGGGTGTCCTAAAGCCAAAAAGTTTGAGAACTGCTGGCCTACGGTATATTTTAATCCTCCTTTCCATAGTATTATAAAATACCTTTACTAGATGGACATTCTGATTGTCTCCATTTAATAATCCAAATATATTCTCCACCATTCTTTGCACTATTCTGAGCCTCAGGAGACCAATTCTTGCAGACTGGCTTTCTTGCCTATCAGCTTTAGGTTGGGCTCCATCACTGGGAAACAGGCAGGATTCTGGAGGTGAGGATATTTCCTGCTCCCACTTTGCTTCAGCACATCTTTGCAGTAGCCATGTATCCTCAACTATAGCTATTATCAGATTCCCCCTCATTGGTATTTCAGGCTCTCACTGGGTCCTCGCAATACAATAGCCCCCCACTCTTACCCACAATTTCGCTTTCTGTGGTCTCAGTTACCACAGTCAACTGTGGTCCAGAAGCAGATGATCCTCCTTCTGACATACCGTCAGAAAGTTAATAGTAGCCTAACGCTAGGTCATGATATAGGCTATGTCATTCCCCTCACATCATCTCATCACATAGACATTTTATCTGACATCATCAGAACGAGGGTGAGTACCACACAATAAGATATTTTGAGAAACCATATTCATATAACTTTATTATAGTACATCGTTATAATTGTTATAAATATTATCAGTTTTTATTATTATTGTTGTTAATCTCTTACTATGCCTAATTTGTAAATTAAACTTACCCTAGGTATGCATATTTAGGAAAAAACATAGTATATACAACATTCAGTACTATCCATGGTTTCAGGCATCTACTGGGGGTGTTGGAACAGATTCCCTCTTGATAAGGGAGCACTACTGTAATTCCTCCACCTGTTTCTTCAATTCTACGGATGATAAAGCTTTCCACAATTGCTAGTCTCTGGATGCCTCCCTATACTCTTGTTATTCTTAACACTGCCACACCTCTGTAATAGCCCCTTTGTTAAAGTTTCGATCTGAGCCATCTGGGGAAATTCTGTTCCCTGGCAAGACACTGATACAGATCTGCCTAAAGGGAGTAAGGGATGAATTTTACACATTTCTTACAAGCCATGAGAGTTTGTTTAATCCTCTTCCCTTCTAGACTGAAGATAAGCTTTTAATAATATTAAGTATGCTTTCATTATTAATAATTATGAATAAAAATGACTGAGACTATATTCTCTCAAGAAATTTGAAGCATTTCATGAATATCATATTATTATGATTTTTGTGAAGAGGATGAAAGATCTTTATTATCCCACTTAACACCTGGGCAAAAAAAAAAAAAAAAATTATTAAACTGACTAAAAACAAGTAGATAAAATGGAATTCCACAATCAAAAGAACATACAGCAAGAAGATTTCAAGTCCCAATCAATAATTGTTTTTTAAAAATATGACAAAATAAATGAATTAGTCTGCTGGCAATGGCTATAACATATAAATCCCATGCGAATGGCCAGCAATGGAACCATGCAAATGTTCATAGCCATTAGCTTACCCAGTATTCATAGGGCTCAGTGTGTTAATACCAGATGCACATCTAGCTTAGATGCCTGTGCCAACTTTTTAAAAAAGTTTCCTATCCTAATGTAGCACAGCCCTTTCCTATGAAAGACATAAAGTCATACAAAAGGTTCTAAAACCAAGTCCCATTTATAACTTATGCCTCTGAGAGACAGTTTGGCAATACTGATGAAGACAGACCAGGCTCTAGGTCACAGAACATGGGTTCCCAGTCTGGCTCTAACACATACTCTATGAACAGGAGGAAGTTCTGTACCTTTTTTGGATTAGTTTTCCTCATCTATAAAATGAGAAAATTATACCTACATCAGAGGTCTGTTGTAAAAATTTTAAAAGTTAATAAATATAAAGTGCTTGGCAAATACTGCGTTTTTAATAATAATTTTCATCACTGCATAAATCAGGATTATGCTGACAACACTGCTTTTCCCAAATAATCCCTCCATCTCAATCAGCTCAACGTAGTAAAGCCAGAGTCTAAGAAAGATGAGGAATCCTGACCTAACTTCTAATAAAACCACAACCGAAGACTTAACTGTAGCAAACCTAAATATGAAAGATAAAAGAATAAAGAAAGCTTTTAGAAGAAAACATGGGGAAACACCTTCATGACCTTGGAATAAGAAACAGGTTCTAAAACACAAAAAAGGACACAAAAAAGATCCATTCATTAAAAAAAGAAAAAACAGGGGCGCCTGGGTGGCTCAGTTGGTTAAGCGACTGCCTTCGGCTCAGGTCATGATCCTAGAGTCCCGGGATGGAGTCCCGCATCAGGCTCCCTGCTCGGCAAGGAGCCTGCTTCTCCCTCTAACCCTCCCCCCTCTCATGTACTCTCTCTCTCTCATTCTCGCTCTCTCAAATAAATAAATCTTTAAAAAAAGAAAAAACAAGTAATAAACTGAACTGTGTTAAAACTAAAAACTTTTATTCACTAAAAGATAACAGAGCAGAAAATATTCACAATATATAAATAATAAACACTCCTATAAAGAATCCTATAAATCAGTAACAAAAAAACAGAAAACACAATAGAAAAATGGACAAATTACTTGAGCAAACACTTTAAAAAAAGAGTACAAGTGGCCAATGAACACATAAACACACTAGGGAAATGAAACACCACTACTGATCCACAAAAATGGTAAAAATGAAAAAGAAAATATCAAGTGGTAGTGAAGATATGGAATACCCAGAACTCTCATACCTATTGGTGGGAATATAAACTGACACACCACTTAAACTATTTGCAAATATCTATTATAATACAATAAATGTACACTCTATGTCCCAGCAATTCCACTTCAAGAATGCATACATATATCCTTCTAAAGACATGTACTAGAATGTTTGTAATAGCATTATTTCAAATAACCTGAAGCTGAAAAGTACCCACCAAATGTTCATCAACAATAGAACAGACCTCTCTCTCTACATATATATATACATACACACATACACTGACAAAATGAAATACTATAATACAATAAAAATGAACAAATTATAACTTCATCAATAATACGTATGATTCTCACAAAAAGTTGAGCTAAGGAAGGCAGATCTATTCTAGGTGACTATTCCACTTACATTACGTTCAAAAATGGGAAACCTAATCTATGGTATTTTTAGAACTCACAAGGGGAAGCCCGGGTGGCTTAGTCCATTAAGCATTGGACTCTTGTTTTTGGATCAGGTCAAGATCTCAGGGTCATTAGATGGAGCCCCACATTGGGCTCCGTACTCAGCAGGGAGTCTGCTGGAGATTCTCTCTCTCCCTCTGCCCCTCCCCATTCTCAGGTTCTCTCTAAAAAATAAATAAATAAAATCTTAAAGAAAAAATAGACTGATGAATCACTGAACTCTACCTCTGAAACTAATAATACACTATGTGTTAATTAACTGAATTTAAATAAATGTAAAAACAAGAAAAATAAAATAATGTTAATGGAAAAAAAAAAGTCTGAAGAGCAGTTCCCCATGAAGAGGGATAGTGACTGGAAAACGACAGGAGTGGACATCTGGGGTGCTAGGATTTCTCTGTTTCTTGATCTGGGTGCTGGTTTTAGGGGTGTAGTCAGTCTGTAAAAATTCATCAAACTATACATTTATGATGTATATACTTTTCTCTACATACATTGTAAATCGATATCATAAAACCTAGCAGTATCAGTAAATTAGGAGGCAAAGTTTTTGTCAATTATTACATTGTTGCTATCTGTTATTTTACACAAAGGTCCAGAAAATAATGTAAAATTCTCTGTTTTGAACGTCACAAGGCCAATTTAATGTAAGTATAGTACAGGAAAAAGTCAGCTTTCAATCATGTTTAATAATAGTTCATAAGTACTCCTCCATTTTTAAATGCTAAAAATAACTTATTGCTATGCAAAAACTAGACAAGTCTATACTAAACAAAACCATTAATCTTAAACCTAAAAATACAAGCAAAAAAAAAAAAACCCTCAAAACTGACATTTAATGAAACTAAGTCACAATGGACTTCAAAATTAACTTGCAAATTTTATTCACTACTATACTAAGATATACTATGAATGATAAGCCAAAAATACTGGTATATTATGTAAAATTAAGAGGTATAAACCAGTGTACTTATTCATATAGTAAAGTGAAAAGCACAGGGTAAAACTAATTTTAAAGGAAAGAATAAAAACCAAAGGATACTTTTCCATTGATCTAAAATTTATTATTCTAAATTATAATTTTTTAAATAAAAAATTAGCTATACTCTATTTAAAACAGTGGGGGTGCCTGGGTCTGGGTGGCTCAGTCAGTTAAGCATCTGCCTTTGGCTCAGGTCACAATCCCAGGGTCCTGGGATTGAGCCCCACGTTGGGCTCCCTGCTCAGTGGGGAGTCTGCTTCTCCCTCTCTCTCTGCCTCTGCTCATGTGCTCTCTCTCAAATAAATAAATAAAATCTTTTTTAAAAAATACTGTGTTTAATTAAGGAGTTAGACAACTCAAGAGTTTGAAAATAATTTATTACCAATCATAAGAGAGAAAAGGGATATGAGGGAAAATGTAAACATAAAGCATATAAAATTAGAAATCCTGTGAGGTCATAGTAAAAGGCAGGCAAATTAAAAGTACAAAACACTTATTAGAAACTAGAGGCTGACAGAGGACTCCACATAGATTTAAAATGGAAAATGACAATTATATATATGGTAAATAAGAAGCTAGAGAAAATTAAACACAATTAAGAAAAAACCCCTAATTCTTCTTTTCGGAATGACAAGAAGTTAGTAAGTTATCATTATCTTGTACCTCATATGGTCAAATAAAAAATTCACAAGTACAGTTGATTCTTGCTTGAATAATGCAGGGGTTAGGGACTCTGACCCCATGCAGTCAAAATCCACGTGTAACATTTGAATTCCCCCAAAACTTAACTATTAATAGGCTACTGTTGGCCAGAGGCCTTACTGGTAACATAAACATATTTTGTATGTTATATGTATTACACATATCCTATTCTTAGAATAAGGTAGACTAGAGAAAAGAAAATATTATTAACAAAATCAAAAAGTGTCTGGGGTGGCTCGGTTGAGTATCTGACTTGGTTTGGGCTCAGGTCATGATCTCAGGATTGTGAGACTGAATGAACCCCGCTTTCGGCTCCACGCTTGGTGTGGAGTCTGCTTGAGATTCTTTCCCCTCTTCCTTCTCCCTCTCCCTCTGTTCCTCCCCAACTTGCATGCATGTGCCCGCTCTCTCTCTCAATAAATAAATCTTTAAAAAAAAAGAAAAAAAATCAAAAGAAAGAGAAAATTTACAGTGTTATACTGTAAAACATCCATGTTTAAGTTTGAACCCACACAGTTCAAACACGTGTTGTTCAAGGGTTAACTGTAATATGATTATTGCTTTTGAGAAGACTGGCCTTCAACATCTCCCATGTAAAATACTTTGAAAATGTATTCCATTTTTGTTTTCATTTCACACTAAGGAATTGTTACTCTGGTTATTAAGCTTAAGAGACGCACAATCACAAATCTTGTAAGAAATCTCTAAACATGAACATTAAACCATAATGTCTTATTATACATTATTTTATCATAGTACTCCAAAATTATTTCTGAATTATAGCAAATGGAGTTTTGTGTTGTTTTGTAACCACAAATGAACTGATGTTTTTCCTTACCAATTCATATTCATCAAAAAGCTGTATGAGGGAAGGTGGAATGAACATATGAAAGCCCTGTAAAAAAGCATTGATCTGAGGCTGAATGGCTCTTGTCATTCGAAGTTCAGTAACAAGTTGAACATACTCCGCCTATTAAAAAAAAAAAAAAAGTGATGATTTTTTTCAATTTCACATACTTAAGATATTGTTGATATGATCATTCCTCATTTAAGAGGTAAAGGTTTGGAATTAATTTGGCACCATCATTCAAATATCTCAGTAAACCCATAATCTACCAATCACTAACTACTTAGGCCAAAATCCTAGGAATCAATCACCCATGATTTTTCTCACACGCTGTATCAGTGAGTGCTATCAGAACTACCTCCAAAAAACATTCTCAATCCGACCCTGTCTCACCATCTCCACTACTACTACCCTGGTCCAAGCCATCATCATCACCTTCACCTGGATTACTGTAACATGTGGTGTCCCAGTTTCCATTTTTGTCTCTGTACTGCTTCTTCCATACCACCAAGTGATCTTTTAAATATATAAATATATATTTTACATACAATTTCATATATAATTCAGATCACATCACTCCTGCTCAAAACCCTACAGTGAGGGGTGCCTGGGTGGCTCAGTCACTTAAGCACCTCTCTCCCTCCCTAAAACAAAACAAAACAACTCTACATTGACTTAAGTAAAAAAACAAATTATAAGGCCCTAAATGATCCAGCCTTTCTTTGCGCTCTCATCTCACTTCTTTCTTCTCTCCCCCTTGTTCATTCTCTCTATTCCCCAAACATAAGCTTGTTCAGGCCTCAGTGTCTATACTTCCTCATGTCTCTGACTCAACTATCTCATTAGAATGTAACCTCTCTGCAGGCAAGGGCTCTGTTTTGTTTTCCAGTATATATTCCCAGCTCCTAAAAAACTGGCTGTCACTTTGTAAATGTTCAACAAATACTGGATGAATGCATACATTCAACAAGTGCATTTAATACAGACCTAGAACTTGATAAAATGGGTCACTTAAGCATAGTTATTTGATTCTGAATTAAGGTAAACTATTTTTACACGTCATTTTAAAATACATCATCACAGGGCGCCTGGGTGGCTCAGTTGGTTAAGCGACTGCCTTCGGCTCAGGTCATGATCCTGGAGTCCCGGGATCGAGTCCCGCATCGGGCTCCCTGCTCGGCAGGGAGTCTGCTTCTCCCTCTGACCCTCCTCCCTCTCATGCTCTCTCTCATTCTCTCTGTCTCAAATAAATAAATAAAATCTTTAAAAATAAATAAATAAATAAAATAAAATAAAATACATCATCACAGAAAATAGTGTCACTCAAAATTTAACTGGTAATAAAGAATATATTTTGGCTCAGACAAGAATCAATTATTATATTTATCAATCAACTCTATCAATTGTTATCATTTATATATTTTAAATTACATCTAAGTGAAATTTTGTGACTTAAAAGCAATAGTTTTTACTACCAGTAATCCAGGTGAAGGTGATGATGATGGCTTGGACCAGGGTAGTAATATACCTCCTAATATAGTTCTTACCTCCCAGGTATGAATGTTCTAAAGAGAGTAGAGAAAGCCAATTTTAGGTTCCTTCCTTTATTTTTTGAGGGGGCACTAATCTGAAACTCTGCCACCTCCCACTTTCTAACTCTACACCGGGGGGAAAAAACCCACAAGTACTGAGCTAGAAAGTTATATATAACCACTGGCTATGAATTCTCCATCCATGTCAAAGCTATAGAAGTGTCATGGTGGCTTCCCCATAGTTCTCCCCAAGCCCCACATAGCCCCTTGTGCAATCTAGCACAGGGAAAGCGGTCATCTCTGCTATTCAGTCTACTCCCACGCCCAAATCACACTCCCTACCACCCACAAGTTTTTCCTCCACTGTACAGGAATTATCAGTTACTACATTTAGGTAGTTACCAGAGAGAGGGAGACAAAAATGTGTGCCAAACAATCAAACAGAAACATAAACTAGATTTTCACATCCAAGAAATAATATATATAGCACACTTCCAAGTGATAACCAGCAGTGATTTCAATATTAGCACATCATTATCTTTTACTTTATGTCTGCTCTACCTAAACTTACTCAACTGCTACAATTTTTCTGCTCCACTTATTCACTACTGTTTAAGATGCTATATGAGACCCTATGTTCCCTTAGTAAGAACAGCTTTTTCCCAAAAGGTTTTGCTCTTAGAATCTTATGGTACTATTCAACAATCATTGTTCAAGACCTTAAATTATGAAGCATAAAAGTAAAAGATTTGCGGGCACCTGTGTGGCTCAGTTGGTTAAGCATCCAACTCTTGATTTCAGCCCAGGTCATGATCTCAGGGTTGTGAGATCTAGCCCTGTGTCGGGCTCCACACTGGGTGTGGAGCCTGCTTAAGATTCTCTCTCTCCCTCTCCCTTTGCCTCTGCCCCTCTCTGCCCTTCCCCCACCATTCAGATGTGCACACGTGCTCTCAAAAAAAAAAAAGGGTAAAATATTTGTGAATTGCTCAAAGTACACTTTACCAATTTTAATTGGCCATTGCATTCCGTATTTACCAGAGTAGTACACATTCTGTTTTCAATCAGTTAATTCCTATTACTTCCTCACACGTTCTCTTTTTAAAAATTAATTTCTACAAGTATACTAATCTTTCCTTCCATGTTCCCTTCTATTCTTCTAATATGGAATATTATTCTAATATTCTAAATGTTTTCCACATTTATTTCTATAACTTTGACCCATAGTCACTGTATACCAATTTGTGGAAATCAGCTCCTTCAAATACCAATTTCCATGTTAAGTTAATTTAAATGTAGATGAATTTTGGTCTAAATTATTTCTCAGAAAAATAATAAAATCCTAGCCATCACAAATCCTGCTGAGATGTTTAGTAAAATAAAGTTTTCCATGTAGCTGAAATATAACTGTAGTTAACAGAAGAAAATATAAACCAAGTGAGCTAAAATGTTTCCCTGCTTCCTTAAACACTATACATCCTCAAAGAGAGTAACACAAATTAACATTTTCTTGATGATACAATTATTACTATGAACATCCACTATTATTACACACTAACTTTTTGACTATTCATACTGTGCAGAAATATACTGGCTACATTCCCATTATACAGGCATCCAAGTGACTCACACCTCCCCACGCTTTATGCTCTGCGTAACTACATCAAGTATCTTACATGCTTTAATAAGGAAACAGTGGATATGCAGATGACAATCAGTCCACAAAACACCGGCATAAAGACTTGCACAATCAAACATTAAATATAAACCAAACCTAAACTATCATTTCCTTTTAAGTTATTACAAGAGATTGATATAACTTGGGTCAGGGGATCTTCTTTTATCCCTAATAGATGGCATATCCTAGGAGTCATGTCTGCTCCCACCTGAGTTTTATTGTCTATTCTTTGAAGGCATTAAATAATACCAGATGCCAAAAAATTAAATTGAAGAATTAATCATATTAAAGAATCTTAGTACTTGTACTGGTGAAGTAATTATGTTAATACATAGAAAGCTTTCAACTTAGAAAGCTTCAGCATAGAAACAACAACAGCAACAAAAAAGAGCCTCAGCAACTTTTTTCTGGCTTAACCTCTGACCCTTGTAACTGATATAAAATAGTTAAGTAAAACAGAAACTGCAAAGCGAAAAACATAAAAACACTGAGATTAAGAAGACTGAACTTTCAGGCGCCTGGGTGGCTCAGTCATTAAGTGTCTGCCTTCAGCTCAGGTCATGATCCCAGGGTCCTGGGATCGAGTCCCACATCGGGCTCCCTGCTCGGCGGGAAGCCTGCTTCTCCCTCTCCCACTCCCCCTGCTTGTGTTCCTGCTCTCGCTATCACTCTCTCTGTCAAATAAATAAATAAAATCTTTAAAAAAAAAAAAAAAAAAAGAAGACTGAACTTTCGGACAGTATGTTCCAGTTAAATTATATGTCTACATTTACAGAAACATTTTGTTTTAATAATCTCTAGTCTTCTGAATTTGTGGAATAAATATTCATCTCTCCGAAATCTTCCTTAAAATTTTAACTTCTCTTCAGGCTTTGAACCTAAATTATGTCTTCTTATAAGAAATGGTGGTGATATTGAATATAAATGCATTTTTAAGCTATTTTTCTTCTTGAAAATCTTTTCATTATTTCTTGAAAGATATCTAAATAAACCATATTTACTTAAATAATAGTTAACTTTTACTAGTGAAAACAAGAGTTTCTTTTTTTCCCTCCTCTAAGCAGAGGAATAAACTGGGCCACATTTGTAAAACAATTTGGAATAGTTATTTTTTTAGTAATTAACAGTCTAAATGGCATTATTATTGACATAATTCAATTTACTGTTTGAATATAAAAGCTTCTTTCCTGAGTTTATCCACTTATTACTGCTCTGGTATGTAAGAGTTCTCATTGAAAATTTTTCCACTGAGAACTCCAAAGGATAACCAGGTTTCTCTTGTAGGAATAAGCAGATATACCAAAAAGGCAAGAAACTATCTCATTTTCTCCATCCTCACTGCCTTTGTCTTATAAAATCCTCATGCATGCTCCCCAGACCAATACCACAGCCACCTATCAGTTCCCTGACTCCAGTATTGCCCCATTTCAATTCATTCTTCACACTGCAAGCTAAGTTTGTTTTTGTGTGTTTTTAAGAAACAGAATCCATTGATGGAACTTACCTCTATAACAGCTACAGTCATCCCTACAGTCTTCAGAATAATTTTCAAATTCTTAATTGTGGATACAGTCCTTCAGAATTTGGCCCCTGTCTACTCCCCTCATTTTTTACCACTCATTTACTTTGCAAGCTAAGATCTACAACTCTGATCTACCTGTGGTTCCCTGAATACATCATGCTCTGTCATCCTTAACTTCCTCTAAGCCCAGAACATTTCCTTTTCCCCCTCCTTACTCCTATCTGACCACTTAATGCTTGTCCTCTATAATTCAGCTTCCATACCACCTCCTCCATTCCTTGATACCCTGTCTTACCCACTCCTATTTCCCTCCCAGCCTGAATGAACTTCATGATTAGTACTACAAAAGTGTTAGCATTTAAAGCTCATGTAGCTTACTCTTCAGTTCTAGGAGATAGAACAGAAGATATAAGAAAATCTGTCACTTCTAACTCAAATTTTATGGTTCCATGATTCCAGCTTTCAGTCAAGAATAAAAAAAGAGGGGACACCTGGGTGGCTCAGTCGGTTAAGCGTCTGCCTTCAGCTCAGGTCATGATCCCAGGCACCTGGGATCGAGTCCTGCATCAGGCTCCCTACTCAGTGGGGAACCTGCTTCTCCCTCTGCCTGCCACTTTCCCTGCTTGTGTTCTCTCTCTCTGACAAATAAATATATAAAACCTTTAAAGAAAAAAAAGGAATAAAAAAGTGAAAAGTAAAAGCAAAACTTCTAAAGGAAGATGAAAATACTATTTAAATGTAAATGCTCAGCTCCTAGTAATTCAGCCATTTTCAAAAGTGAAACCAGAGTTTAGTTTTATTATTATTTTTTAAGATTTTTAAACAAATTGATAACAATATTAAATTTAAAAGAGCATTATATTTCAAATGTGGAATGTACATATATTCTTCTGCCTACATCATTTGTGTTTATTTAATGTACTCCTTTTTAAACAAAGGTATTTTCATCTATTTGGTTTCCCTCTATAATTACCAAAGCCTTGGATGGGAGACCAAAGCCTTTCCATAAAAATTAGGAATAAATGACTCCCCCACGTGGAGATCAGCTTACACAGATTTTCTCGTACTAACAAGCTTGGTAACTCATTTAAGCTTCAACATGCTTACAGATTTTGAAGTTGAACTCCAAACGTGACAATTTTAACTTTATACCTATAGAGATAAGTAAGTAAACGGCTAACCTTAACGTAACAAAAAAGTTCATGAAAGAAATGTATGTTAAAAAATAACAATATCTCTAAAAATTGAAAATTTTACTTGTAAACTGAATACTTTAACAGTCTTAAAGCAAGGGATCAATTTAAGATGCAGTTATGTTTCTACAGATTTTTATTTTTAAAAATTAATCAGGTTGCTTATTGAGTGAGCATTAATTGTTTAAACATCAACAATTTGATATACAATTATACTTGACTCAAAAAAAAAAAAAACAATTATACTCGACTCTTTCTGGTAATACTAGAAAATTATTCTGAAAAATGTTTACATCACAAAAATGAAAGCTGAGAAGAATTAACATATTAGTGATCAAGATCCTGCTTTTATTACCCAAAGCTAATCATTAAAAAAAAGGTTCAGCCTATAATCAACCAAACAATTAGTGACTATAGTTAAATAAAAATATTTAACTTAGAAGCAAAAGTTTCAGGCTCTCTAATATTACAATAGTAAGTATTCCAGTCTCAAACCGGACTCACAATGAAAGGTACACCCTCAATGGGTGTGTATACTCTTGATATTATTTACTATCTTCCTTCTTTCTAGATTTCATTTTAAGACACAAATGCCAAAGAACTAATAAAATGTCTTTTTAAAAATCTAAACAAAAACCATGTGATAATGGGAGGGAGAGCGTTAGGAGATACAAGTATAAATATAGCTATACATCATGCAATTGTTAATGGGTCTTTCCACTTTGTCATATAAAACATATCTGAGAGGGTGACAAGTCCATTCACCATAGTATTCACAGATAAGAATCATGTTTGAGTTTCTCTGGTGAAAAACAATCACCTTCTTATAAAAAAGACTCTATAGCTTCATTACCCTTAATTGAAAATAGGTCTCCAGTGTAAAATAATAAATGCACTATAGGGTGCACAATCTAATAATTAGAAGATTTTAAAAAGTATTTTCATTCACTGGCAAGCTTATATATGTTTTAAAAATAAAGCATTTTACTCTTTTCATCTTCTAGAGCTTAACATGACTCATTATATTAAAAATCAAGTAAGATCTTCCTTAACATGATTAATTTTGTGAAGGAAGAACATGAGACTTGAAACTAGGAGACCTGGGTTTTGGCCCCAGATTTACAATTCTTTAGGCTTCAGTGTCCTCATGTGTAAAATGAGAGGGCGAACTAAAAAACATCTAAGTATATATGTGCAAAAACAGCTTCTGATCTTATTTTCAAAAATTAAACTTCATGTTTTTTTTATATGTATAGTACCTAGAAGTCGCAAAAAATAAAACTATATAGCATAATATAACTTTCCAATACCCTGTACATATCTCATACTAAGAGCCTCTTTTTACAGAGCACTAGCCAATAAGAACTAACTTTTGTGTTGTGGTTTTCAGTTTGCAAAATCCTAGTAATGATTCTGTATGGGAGCTATTATTATCCCAATTCTACAGAATAGAAAACTGAGGCTCAAAGAGGTTAAAATGCAGCCAAGTCTCCTGGTCTTTAAAAAAAAAAAAAAAATCTGTATTTTACTAAATCAATGGACATTATTCCTTAAAGTTAGTTGCTTCTGAAGCTGTCTTGGAATTATAATACAACTAATGGAAAGGAAAAAGGTTTTAGTCTTGTTTAACCAGAAGTTGCTACTGGTAAATGACAGAAGTGGAGTTCCCACACAAGATTTCCTGACTCCCAATTTCCTACATATCAAAATATAACATAAAACTGAATTATATATTAAAATAACATATTTTTCAATAGTGACATTTAAAACATATGCCAAAATTTAAAACTAATATGTGCAGCTGTATGTCAATTATTTCTCAATAAAACTGGGGAAAAAAATTCACAAACAGAAGATAGAACAATAAATAAAAATAATCAAGTTATAAAGCTTAAAAAAAAAAAATCAAGTTCAGAGGTCTAACAGATTTACTGGATCCCAAAAGCATGTACAAAGTTTAACACAGGAAATTCTTCTTTTCTCTAGTGGAACTCTTAACATCGTACTTCAAAACATGAAACAGTGACTAATGCAAATATGATTTTGATGTAAACTTCTATATCTAATCTAATTTTTCAATAAAGAGATGCCCAATTTATACAATCGACTGAATTGTGCTTTAGGCTGCTTCAGGAACTGCCTCAGCTATCTAACACAATAATGAAATGACCCTTTCTAACTCAAAAGTTTGATACTTGATGTTTTAGTTAATTTAAATATTTTATCTGTTAAAAAATGTTACAAAACTCTGTAACAGCACAAGTTTTTCTAGCTAGTGTCAGGAGGCTAATCAGCAAACTATCAGGGCCAAGTTACAATGGCTAAGATAAATATTCAAATACTCACTTTATTATTCTGTGTCACAAGAATACTTCCACCCCCAGGTTTCAAAGGCACCTCTTCCATTGCTCCAAACACATCAGTTTCAACAGAAAAGGTTAGCTCTAGACCCAGATCACTAATGTCATTATCTAAAATCCACTGCAAATTTTTGGCATATTCTGGATCAATGGATGCCACATCTTGGTAATTTACAGGAATACCTAAAAATGCAAACATAGAGCAGTTATATTCTAAATGTTTCTGCCTTTCCTTGTTTGTTTAATGGTAAAATACTGCCCTCTACAGATATTCCATAAAACTGCAAAATATAGTCCAATTCACAGCATGATTTAAGTAGAGGCTAATTCCTGGATTTGAAAGTCTGTTAATTTAAACTTGTGGTTTTTTTCCACATTTTTATAATGTAATCTTTCTCTGAAATAGCTATACAGAAAAATTATATATACTTCAAAAAGTGCCAATTCACTTAGGTATATCCATATTAAAATGCACTCTTAGCATAAACATTACACACTAAAATGATAATTTTTTTAGCAAAAAAGTAGATTTTTTTTTCTCTACCTCATAGGCTCCCAAATGCCTTACATACACAGACAGTTTCCAATTGAAAGAAAAATTACCTCAATCAAAATGCCTCCACTTACCTATTTAGTTTTTCCTAAAGATTCTAAGAAAAACACTTCAAATAAGTGCCTCTGGAAATAACAACAGAGCCATACCAAGAATGTGCTTATAGAATGATCTTGTGAAGTAAATGTTGACAAGCTGCCTGTGGTTCAAAGCTAATCCCAAGATCTGTCCAGCAAACCGGAAATAGTTCAAGTGATCAGGATTTACATAGGAGTTGCTATTAGGCTGAAAAGTTGTTCCTATTAAAATAAATACAAAATAATTTATTTCTAAGAATCTAGATGCAGAAGAAAGATCGCTTCAATGCAGAAACTGAATTTGAAATTTTCACTATTTTTTGCTCTTTATGGAATAGAGCACTACAAGAGAATAACTAAAATTTTAAACGTACAACTGTTCATATACAACTTCAGCAAAACCAAGGTTACATTATGTATAAACTTCCACCAGAATGTTCTTTGTGAAATATATAACAGACAATGGAATTGTCAAAAGATAATCATTAATTCACACATACTTATGAGAGTAAGTCTTTGCAGAGAGAAAATTACTTTTAACTGAAAGTAGTTGGAAGATGTGTCAAAGAGATTCTGGAAATAATATATTAAAAGATAATATACATAACATGTTTTCCTCAGCAATGTAGAAATACTAGGCTGTGAATTAGGACAGGCATTGTTTCATTCATCTATACATGCCCAGTGCAGTATTTTCACTACTTTTTGCTCCTTATGGAATAGAGCACTACAAGAGAATAACTAATTTTAAATGTACAACTGTTCTTAAGTGATGAACTCGATGCCTTTTACCAATTATCAGAAAATCACCTAAATCCACAAGTCAACCAATTATTCCTCACAACAAATAATCAACTTTATTTTTCTTAAGATTTTATTTGAAAGAGAGAGGGAAAAGTGCACGTGCAAGCAGGGGGAGGGGCAGAGGGAGAGAAATAATCTCCAACAGACTCCCCACTGAGCCTAGGAGAGGCCAACTCAGGGCTCAATCTCACAACCTGAGATCATGACCTGAGCTGAAACCAAGAGTCTGGACACTTAACAAACTGGCCACCTAGGCACCTCACAAATAATCAACTTTCAATAAGCACCACTGAGGTATAAAAGTAAAAATGGCAAAGGCAATAGTTACCAATTACTGTCAAAACCTAGTATGATTCCACTTATATGAAAAAAGGTCCGGAAATAGTGGTGATGGTTACACAACACTGTCAATGTATTTAATGCCAGTGAATTGTATACTTTAAAGTGGTTAAAATAGTAAATATTATGTTATATATTTGATCACAATGAAAACAAACGTCTAAAAAAAATCTAGTGCAATGGAAAAACCTAATACCAAGACTTCAACTTTAAAGAACTTTTTGTACTGTTCTGTGATGATCACTAACTCCGAAGACAATTGTTATTCTTTCAACAAATATTTATTGAGCTCAAGCTATTTACTACTCTTCTAGGCACTTACACTAGAAGAAAGAATAAACTGCTAAATCTAATGAAATAGGATCCAAAAATAAAATAAAATAAAGGAAAAGTAGAAAGTTTTGAAAAATGAGATGTTTGATCATTTCGTATACATATTTTGACAATGATTCACTTTGTTCATTGAGGGTCTTTGATTTCTCACTGTTGGCACTAGACTACACTGCCATGACCAGTTTACTTAGATACAAGGTACAACTGTGGAAGCTTATGGTTGAACGACTTAAAAGGGCTACATGAAGCTAGTCATTCACTGTCAAGTACCTTTTGAGAATAATTCCCAGTCATGGGTAAGACTGGGTATTAAAAGTCACAGGAAAGTTTTGTGAGATGAAGAAAAACTTCAAGGACAAACATAATAATTCCAAAGATATAAATAATCTAAGAATAGTCACAAATATTTTTACCTATTAAAATAGTGAATGCTTAGGGCGCCTGGGTAGCTCAGTTGGTTAAGTGGCTGCCTTCGGCTCAGGTCATGATCTCAGGGTCCTGGGATCAAGCCCCGCATCGGGCTCCCTGCTCAGTGGGGAGTCAGCTTCTCCCTCTCCCTCTGCCCCTCTCCCTACGTGTGTGCACATGCTCACTCTCTCTCAAATAAATAAAATCTTTAAAAAATAATAATAAAATAAAATAGTGAATGCTTAGGGTTACTGATGAATCAATCAGCAAAGATTTTTGATGACCCAACTTTCCACCCCTAGGTCTGTAATTTATAATTCCTTTGCTAAGTACTTTCTGGGAAATCTAGGTTATTAAAAAGAACAGATAAGGAGAAATCAAAAACAAAAAATAAATAAGGAAACAAATAGGGAAAATAATAATAGTTTTTAATTTGAAAACTACTTAAAACAGAACACAAAGTTTAGGTTCTGTTTTAAGTTCAAAATAAATGTAACTGTGACACAGCTATTTTCATCACCTCAGAAAAATCCTAGTGAACAAGAAAATACCATTTTCCACATAATAATAGCTTCTAATAATTAGTTCTACTTTCTATATTTCTTAGGCACTAGGCTAAGCATTTTTTACATAACGGCTAATTGATTTCTCTCTTACCACATTACAAAACATACATTATCACCATTTCAAATGGAGAAACTGAGGTCCAGAAAGGTTACATTTATTGGCCCAAGATGACGACAACAAGAGGAACAGAGCCAGGACTCACATCCAGTGTAAGACCAAAGACCAAACTCTATGGTAAGCATCTTAATTTAATTAGAAAGCAAGTTTTAAAGAAATTATTATAGACATGAGGGCTACCCAAACATTTCCCACATTCAGGAATTTTTAATTCAAAATTTCAGCATAATTCCCTTCGTGTCAATTAAACATAAGAACAAGGAAATATTTCACCAAGATTTTAATTTATAAATACTGTAATCCCAAAGAGAAGGCTTACAAAAAGGACAAATCACAATCTTTATGATCTCTGTGCATTAGCATATGCTCTACTAATATATTCATAGTGTTAGGAATTACCTTGACTCATAATTGCACATCAAATCTGTTTTTCAGCTATGAAACTAAACAGACACAGAATAATGGACTATAAAGAAATGAAATAAATCTAAAATATAATGCTCTAATGCTAAATCTTGCTTCAAAGATTAGGCCTAACTAAACCCAGCACCTCATCAAACTTGTCATAAAAACAACAAAGACAACAAATTCACCTCAGAGCAAAAAAATCAGAAGTTCTAAATTAAAGCAGACAGTCCCATATCCCTAAGTAACTTCAAATACACCATGTGTGAATACATAGGTGCATACCTACAGCTCCCTAGCATCCCTGCAGCCCACCGCCCCGTTGCCTCTCTCCTAAAGTCATCCTTCTTATTCAATGGAGATTTGCCTGCCGGTTTGGTTGGAGATAATCAGAAAGTACAATTAATGATGCACTCTCTCCTTATAAAAAAAAAAAAGAAATTTAAACACTGGGAAAGAAAAGATCTTCAGGAAATAAAAGCAACTGTGTAAAGCATTTAAAAACTGAAATCCCGCCTTCACTTGTGTGTTTTTCTTAAGTTAGAGAACTGTCAAGTATTCTTCACACAGATGAGGCGGTAACCATTTCCATTCAGCCTACAATATCAAATTAGAATTGTGCAGGTCCAAATTACCATTTCAACAAATAGTTTATTTGTATTATAAGATAATAAGAGCTTTTTAGGTTTTAATCTTTTAAAAGGACTGAAAACTAAGTTACTATACATAGATTATAAGTTAAGATTTAACACCATGATTTCTAGACTGTTTTTTATATGACCAATAAATTTTAAGACTTGGAAACTCAAATAGGGTTAGCAAATTTTAATTTTTCCAAATAAGTATTTTTCTAAGTCCATCTACTAGCATTATTTCACAAAAGGAAATTTTAGCTCAAAAAAGTCTAAGGACAATGCTTAAAATTGTATAAATTTAGTTTTATTTTACAAAGGACTGATGAAAACTTCCGTGGAGCCAGCACTGGCCCTTGAGACAAATATTTGAGAACCAACTATCTAGAGGAAAGAATGCTAGACTGAATCAGGTTCCACTCATGATCCTACCACTCATTAACTGTGTTAACAAAACCTCTGAATTTCAACTTTCTTTTCTAGGAAATGGGACTATGCCACACCTAGCTCACACGATTACTGTGGGAATCAAAGGAGAAAATGCACTGCTGTAGTTGGAAACTATGAGAGCCACAGAGAAAGTCCTGTAGACTGTACAACTTACCGTCAGCTGACTGGGTGAACAATGCGTAATCAGGATTGACGATCTCATTAGACAGAATATCAAACCACTCACGCACAACACCTTGACCCTGAGTTCAAGAAAATAAAATTAAGCATCAACAGAAATACATGGGAAATTTTTTCTGAGTAATAACAAATTAAAATCATTTCAGATGTCTTCCCTTATCAGTTATGCAGCACACTGCATCCCCATCTTTCACACTGGGTGGCGCCCAGCACTGATCTTTATGCCCACCATGCCTTCTTCTCCGTGGAACCGCACAGCAATTCCTTGCTTCAGCTTTGCACAATTTGCTCTTGACACAACTTCACAGCTACTCCTGAAAATAGAATCTAAATATATAGCATTAGTTAATTTCATGTATGAAAACTTACAGTAACTACTATTTGGGGCCTCACACACATCAGTTTCTTAGACATACCTCTGTGAACCAGCAGGATATCATTTTCATTCACTGGCCTGTGCACCATGTCGGAATCTGGCTGTCCTGAATGCAAATGTTCATAGAACCACTCACAGCGATCTTTAAACGGCTAACCCAACAAAAAACGGTAAAATATGTTGGCAGTTACCTATCAGATTACTTCATGAGCCTGCTAATGCCCTTTCTACAAATAATCATTCTTAAACCTTTATTTATAATAAATAGTTCTAGATAATGTTCTGACATTTCAAAAACTATTCACAAAAAGGTAGATCTTAGCCGAAATACTTTGATTACAAAGAGTATATTTTTTAATTCCCATTTTAGCAGAAAAGACTTGATAAATCAGGTTATATCTAAACTTAATTATCAGATATGAATTGACACAATTTACTCCTAATTTCTTTTAAGCCCAACAATGCTTTTAAGAATGAATTTCCAGGGCGCCTGGGTGGCTCAGTTGGTTAAGGGACTGCCTTCGGCTCAGGTCATGGTCCTGGAGTCCCGGGATCGAGTCCCGCATCGGGCTCCCTGCTCGGCGGGGAGCCTGCTTCTCCCTCTGACCCTCCCCCCCTCATGTACTCTCTCTCATTCTCGCTCTCTCAAATAAATAAATAAATCTTTAAAAAAAAAAAAAAAAAAGAATGAATTTCCAAATCCAGAAAAATTACATTGCATGTTATATTTAATTTTTTGTGAAAATAGTCTTCTAGATCTAACTTTATTCTTTTTTTTTTTCTTTTGAGAGAGAAAGAGAGAGAGAGAAAGAGCATGTACGAGAGCTCCGGGAGAGGCAGAGGGAGGAGAGGGAATCTCAAGCAGACTCTGCACTGAGCCCAGAGCCTGACGCCGGGCTGAGCTCATGACCTGAGCTGAAATCAGGAATCGGACACTTAAAATTGATTGAGCCACCCAGGCACCCCTATCTAACTTTATTCTTATTTCTATCCTTTGAATATGTAGTGTAAACCTTGACAATTGGGGTATTTTTTCTTATTTTAATGTAAGTGCCTGACTGAAGCTTTGATTGCCAAGGCAACCACTTCAAAGAGGCATCTACTTCAAAGATGGCTATCTCAAATAAATGGAATGCCAGCCACATAACTTAATAAAGAGCCAGGCCACCTTCCCACAGGGAAGCTCCTCTGTTTTAGAAATCTTGGTTGATTTCTATAACTGACCATTTGGCCCACTTGTTGTTCTTCCTCTTCCCGTGCTTTAAATTCCCGCTCTTAATGTTTTAAATTCACCAACAGTGAGCTTGTGAAACCCTAGGCTCCCACCTCAACCCCAATAAAAGCAGAACCTCAGGCCCATGTGCGTTATCATGCTCGCACGCACACACTCGCCCACTCCCTCACCTCCACCATGTGTGCTGTGTAATACCCAGGTCCCATAAGTAATAAACCTTTATTTTTTTCAGTTTCCTTTACTGCTGAAGGGCATCTTGCAATCATAATAAGAACCACAAGGGCTGGTCTAGGCACAAGACCGGTTATCGAAAGGCTGAGACCAACACACAATTGGCATAGATGGCAGGACTGCATCTGTCAGGCCTTGCAATTAACCAAGGGGAATGTCTTTACCTGCAACCTGCCTACTAACTGCCAAACTCACCATCTGAGAAAGGAGCACCTTTAGCTGGGGGTCTGCCATGCTGCTCTGTGCTTTCACACATTGCTTCTGTCGTGTGTTGCCTGCAATATCCAACCTAAAAGGTCACAGCTGCCATAATAATTCAAGAATCTCCCCAGAGCAGCATGATCAAGGCCATATGATCTAATGAGATGATCAGACTACTAATTATAAAGGTCTTAATTGACTATCAATGTGTATAACGGACCTCCAAAGCCAAGGAGAGCAAGGGAGGGTGGATTAGACTGCAAGGCTACTGCCACTGCCAAGGAGGGTTCTGGGCCAAAGGTAGATAGAAATGATTCCTTAGGTGAGAAGGATTGGAAATTTCCACTTGCAACCACTGAGTCAAGTGGGTTGTGCCCAAATCACATGTCCTAACCCAGAAAAGAGAAATAGCCTTGCAAACAGAAGCCAATGGCACCACAGAGGGAACGTACAGCAGAGGCCTACAGTCTGTGTCACCACTTCACTCACTACCATTGCTACTTGTCCCCTGACCCAATAGGATACTATGGGTCCAATCCCTGGTGTGGTATGGCTAAAAAATTAATGGACAAATGTAAATGTCCTGAACAATCTAAGAACCCTGAGGAGGCACACCAGCTCCTTGATAAATGTAAAACCCCATGGGTGCTTCCTAGGTGTTACTCAATTATGCACACAAAAATGCCAAGGCTCTGGCTTATGCTCCAGAGGCCTAGGGACTTTTCCCAAGACCCCGTGTATATCATGCTACTGAAGGCAGACTCCAATCCAGGAGAGGTTTCCTGGGACATCCTGAAAAGTAAAGCAGCCACCTACAAAGAGGGCTGACAGTGATGTCATCCAAAATTTTCTGGTAACAACAATTTTCGAGTAAGATTAAGGCAACAGGATAAAAACAAGTAGTAGAAATTGAGATGAAAAGCTATACCTTAACTGAAATTCAAACCTTTCTTAAATATTTTATGCAGCAGGTAGGAGAGAGGGAACTAACTGGTTATTGCAGGTTTTCTTGGTTGTCTGGATCAGGCTTTTAATTGTTACACATGGCAGCTAAAATGCATCAACTAGCTACCATCTCTAAAGACCCTAAAATCCAAAACTTTCTTACAGATCCATCTGGACTATAATGCTCCTTCCTTCTGAGATAGCACATTTTCTAAGCCCCCTCAGCTTTCTACTGAATGGGGGCATAACTACAAGCACACCTCACGAGGTATTCCTGCTGCCAAGGGAAGAGCAGACCGGGTTATCGAGGCCTCTCCTGAGGAAGATGGAATTGGGAAGACAACGGTTGCTAAAGCCACTGATACTCATACCCGAGCCCTCTCTCTCCTCACTTGGATATACACTACCTGGCACTGTACTCATCCTTCCATCGCAGTGATCACTGCTAAGGCTCACAGAGGAAGCCCATCTCCTGCTGCACAAAATTCCCGCAGTCCAATGGGTACATCATTTCCATGACCACAGTGATCCAAATAACCCCTTCCAACCTGAAGAGGACTCATCTGACCTTGAGTCCAGAGAATTACTTTTACAAGGCACTCCCCCAATTACAGGGTGGCACTACTACATTTTATTGTGACCTCGGAAACCATCGTAAAAGCCCTAGAACTCCTAGGAGAAAACTTACATCCTTTCTCTGTCCCTTGAAGATGTAAATCCTTCAATGTCTTTGAAAAGTAAACACCCCAGGAGGTAACTAAAACTCTGCCCACGATTGCCTGAGACTAAAGGAAAAAGAGGGGAAAGAGGCCTTTTAAAATACAAAATGCTATAAAAAGCTCTTTTGCCCAAACTCTAGTCCACAGACTCCTTAAAGATTATTTGTTAAGGATAAATACAAATCTTCAAAGTCTTCTCCACAGGTATTAGTAAAAAGCTTTAGCCACTGGAGCAGGCAACCTTAACTTATTCTGTCTGCCAATTTGGATTCAGCTGTTATTTATACACTAGTGAGTTTTATATTGTTGTACCTGATTCATGACTAGAATGCTGGAATTGAAGCTACAGGTCTCTGTGTCTGTCTGCATATTTATGCATGTCTATGGATATGTTATATATGTGATTTTCTTCTCTCAACCTCCAGATGTACTGCCAAAATTAATCTGTAAAAGAACTCTATTTAATTGGCTTAAAAATAAGCACTTATGAATTAAATATTCCTAAAACTCAAAAATATTTAAGATTTTATTTATTAGAGAGAGAGAGAGAGAGAACAAGCAGGGGGAGGGGCAAAGGGAGAGAGAGAAGCTGACTCCCTGCTGAGCAGGGAGCCCAATGCGGGGCTTGATCCCAGGACCCTGGGATCATGACCTGAGCCAAAGCAGATGCTTAACCAACTGAGCCACCCAGGCGCCCCCAAAACTAACCCAAATTTTTACAAGTTCACATGATCTGGGATAATCTTTGGGAAGTAAAAGCTAGTTTAAATTTGGTGTAATTAAAAAAAGTAGGTCTTCAGATATATATATATATATTTAATATAATGCAGATTATATGTAACTAATATATATAATAATCTATAACATAATATTATACACATGTAATACATATTATACGTTAAATATAACAGATCATATTAATATAACTAATTATGCTAAATAAAATGCAGATAAAAAAACATATTCTACCAGGGTTTACTAGTCAAATAAATTCATGTTATCTCTATTACAAAATTTGTCAGCAGGAAAAACAACTTGGGATGATGCATGAAGTTTTTCATGGTCGTCTAAACATAATTGCTGTGATCAAGAGATTTAAATAAATGTTTAATGGTATAAGAGTTTCTAGGTGAACTTTTTAGCAATAATTATGTGTTATGATATGTCTACTTAAAACCAGTTTCTAAAATTTTTGTTAACTTCCAGCCCTAGAATTTTGCTAAGTTAAATGAAGGAAATTCATTGAATGTCTAAATCATTTCCAAATAAGATAAAATACTGAAACAGTAATTGCAAAACTAGTTGAAGTTTACCTACTTTTGATCACTTACCACAGAGGAACTAAAGATATTTGGGTCTGTTAGTACGCATGTCTTGTGACACACTGAAAAGCTGTACTATGAGGAAATGTATGTTGATAGAAATTATAAAATATGCTCATAAATTTGCCAGTGTAAAGAATGCTGGTGTCACAATTCACAAATTTTACTTTTTGCTTTTCGTTAGAAATTAAGGCTTCTAAGGGCTAAGAATTCTAATTAACATATGTAATTACAACTACTAAATATGGGAAACATCTCTGCATGCAAGGAAAGTAGCATGTGTCTTTAGCTAAGAGAAAGTATGAGGTATGAAGATGTATTTTTGTTAAGGGAAAAGAAAGTAAATTTGTCCTAAAGTAAAACTGGTTATTTCAAAATGGGAAAGAGAAAATAAAAGACAAAATGGTATAGAAAGTTGAGAAGAAAGAGAATTTTACCTTGTGTGGTTGAGTTAGCTAAAACAGAATCGTTGTTATAAGGGTTTGTTGTTTTTTTATAAA